CTGGTCTGGAATGGGAACAGACCAATAAGAACTGGTCTGGAATGGGAACAGACCAATAAGAACTGGTCTGGAATGGGAACAGACCCATAAGAACTGGTCTGGAATGGGAACAGACCCATAAGAACTGGTCTGGAATGGGAACAGACCCATAAGAACTGGTCTGAGTTGGGAAAGATTGGCAGGAACTAGTCTGGAATGGGAAAAGACCGGTCTGGGAGTGGCAAAGGCCCATCAGGGCCGCTCTGAGATAGAAAATCACCAATTGCAACCGGTGCAAAGCCGGGAGATGCCGGTCGGGGATCACTTTTGGGTCCTGTCGGGCAGCCGAGCGCCCGCCAAGCGCCACCTGGGTTCTTCCCCCAGAGGAGAAGCTGGAGCCGCCGCAGGCCATGAACGCCCTGATGAAGCTGAACCAGCTCAAGCCGGGGCTGCAGTACAAGCTGGTGTCCCAGACCGGCCCCGTGCACGCCCCCATCTTCACCATGTCCGTGGAGATCGACGGCAGCACCTTCGAGGCCTCGGGGCCCTCCAAGAAGACGGCGAAGCTGCACGTGGCCGTCAAGGTGAGAGGGGGAGCGGGAAAACCCCGGGAAAGCCCCGGGATGGGGCGGGAGCAGCTCGGCCCTGGTGGGCGCTCGGGTGTGCTCAGGTGGGGAGGGGTGTAAATGGGGGCACAGGCGGGTGTGGGGCTGGAAGTGGGGGCACGGACAGGCGCGCCCGTGGGATTCGGGGAGCACCTGTGGGATTTGGGGAGCGCCCGCGGGATTTGGGAATGCCGAGCGCCGGGGTCTGGTGGGTGGGGCAGGCAGGAGCCCCTGGAGCCGAGCAAGGCCCCTGACCCCGCTCTGCCTCTCCAGGTGTTGCAAGACATGGGGTTACCCACCGGAGTGGAAGGCAAAGACTCCGGGAAGGGTGACGAGTCGGCGGAGGAGACGGAGCAGAAGCCGGTGGTCGTCGCTCCTCCGCCCGTCGTCGAAACGGTGTCGACGCCCACGGCGGCCTCGCCCCCGGCAGATCAGACCCCCGAGGTGAGCACAGCGGGGGGAACACGGCCTCGGGGTGGGGACACAGCCTGGGGGGGTGGGGGACACGGCCTGGGGGTGACCGTTGGTTCTCCGGGTCGCAGTCGCGGGTAAAACCCGAGGCAGACGTGGCTTCGTGGCGTCGCTCCCCAAAGGATGTGTCAAAGGGAGAAGCAGCTCCGGGCCCGCTGGGGGTTGGTTCTGGGGGTTCAGCCGCCCTTCTCCCCTTGCAGAACGTGAAGCAGCAGGGACCAATCCTGACAAAGCACGGGAAGAACCCCGTGATGGAGCTGAACGAGAAGCGGCGCGGGCTGAAGTACGAGCTGATCTCGGAGACGGGCGGCAGCCACGACAAGCGCTTTGTCATGGAGGTGAGGGGGGGCACCTGGGCTCCAGCCCCTTCCCAGGAGCTTGGTTCATCCCATCCAGGGTGGGTTGGGTGGGAAAAGAGCTTGGGAAGCCACCTCATCCCCCTTCCCAGGAGTTTAAACCTTCAAACCCAAGTGGTTCGGGTTGGAAAAGACCTTTCAAAGCTCATTAATGGGCCGGGAGACAGAGTCTCATCCAGCCTCACCCAGAGCACTCCCAGCTCTGGGATTGCCCGTAGGCGCCATAGAAATGCTTCATTTTCCCAAGTGGCCCCATCTTTTGGTGCCCTTTCCCGCTGACACGGGCGCTTTCCTCCCTTCCCAAGGTGGAGGTGGACGGGCAGAAGTTCCAAGGCGCCGGCTCGAACAAGAAGGTGGCCAAGGCCTACGCGGCGCTGGCCGCGCTGGAGAAGCTGTTCCCGGACGCTCCCGTGGCCATCGAGCAGAACAAGAAGAAAAGAGCCCCCGTGCCAGCCAGGGGGGGCCCCAAATTCCCAGTCAAAGTGAGTAAATCCCCACTTCCACGGCTCTGGGGCGCAGCTCGGGGGGTCGGCGGCTCCGGGGTCTGATCCCTTCCTGGGGCTGGGAGTGGGGTACAGGCAGGTGGGGAGAGGTGGATCTTGGGGCCTGCAGTCCCAAACCCCCTCAGGTTTTGTGGCAAACGCCCTCCGGGTTCGGGGGCTCCCGAGTTCCCGGTCCCACCCCCGCGGCTCCAGGGTGGGAGCCGGTGGGAGCTCCGGGTGTTCCCCTCCAGGGGAGGTGTTCTGGGAGGCTCTGGGTGACACCTCCGTCCTCTCTGTGTCTCTCTGTGCCCTCAGCAGCACAACCCGGGGTTCGGCATGGGGGGCCCCATGCACAACGAGGCCCCCCCGCCCCCCAACATGCGCGGCCGCGGCCGGGGCGGAAACATCCGGGGCCGCGGGAGAGGCCGGGGCGGCTTCGGCGGCAACCACGGCGGCTACATGAACACAGGTGAGGGCCAGACCCCCCCAGGGAGTGAGAACCCCCTCTGGCATCCTGGAGGGGCCAGAACACCCCAAATGGGAATGATCCCCCTCTGGAACTGTGTCCAGAGCACTTGGGGGGGCCAGAACATCCCAGATGGGAATGATCCCCCCTCTGGAACTGTGTCCAGAGCACCTGGAGGGGTCAGAACACCCCAAATGGGAATGATCCCCCCTCTGGAACTGTGTCTGCAGCACCTGGAGGGGCCAGAACATCCCAGATGGGAATGATCCCCCCTCTGGAACTGTGTCTGCAGCACCTGGATGGGCCAGAACATCCCGTATGGGAATGATCCCCCTCTGGAACTGTGTCTGCAGCACCTGGAGGGGCCAGAACATCCCAGATGGGAATGATCCCCCCTCTGGAACTGTGTCTGCAGCACCTGG